TGGATACATCACTTTCGTTAAAATATAGTCAAAATAGTCTTTTTTATAGGGAAATTTTTTTATCAATATCCTTGATGTTAATTTTAGTCTTTTAGAACTTGACTTCATTGATCATATACTCTAAGTAAATCAAGGCCTAAATCAAACAGAATTCCTCCTGGAGCCCCTCTGGGACTACTGCCTATTCCAAGCCCGGATAAAGGAGAAGGGTTGGGCATGATGTTAGCGACTCCTTCCCGTAGAAAACTAACTCGCTAAATAAATGCTAACCAGAAAAATAAGTTAATCACATTGAAAAATAACTATTCAGTTCTTAGAACTTACTAAAAGAAATGCTCAAACCTGTAAAATAACTAAGATTATGAACTGATTGTATCATAGTAAATATCTTTAAAATTATTCAAGGACATTTAGTAGTTTGTTTAGACATTTTGAACTTGCTTTAATTAATTAAGAAATAATCGTACTAAATACTTATTTAACTTAAAGTTGTAGGTTGAAATTTCATTTCACAATCCGAGTATTATTATATTTAATAATCATTTTATAGATTGATGAATTTCATTTTTCATTCAATCTAATTCAATCCTGAAGGTTCTCTCTGAAGTATTCAATTATCATGAACTAAATTTCCATGTCACAAGCGATTCTGTAAACAGATGAAAAACATGAATAGAAAAATGAAAGTATATATTTGTGCATATTATTAGATGTATTAGCTTCTATTTGTGAAGATATGATTGTGAACTAGAATAGGTATAGTCTTTAATATACTATAATATATAGGTCTATATCATCTTAGCAACATATAAAAGTTCATTTTTCATGAACTAGGGATGTATTATGAATGGTATCTTCACTAGTTTTACTTAATAACTTTTCATCTGAATGCACTTCTTAAACAATTGGAATTTATGATAACGTTTAATTTGATGAATCAATGAGTTATGTGATGTCAGACCTTATCTTAATAATCACATTTAATAGGTAAGCAAAATATCACAACCCGTCAATAGAAATCCATCATATGAAAGAAAATGCATAGAGAAAATATAACTAGTTTTGTACATTTAACTAGCCGTTAAATATCATGTTAATCATTTTTAGTGAATTCAGCTACATTCACTTTCTGTATTATTTTAATAAATTATTCAACACAAAAATAAGGTTGGGCAATACTCAATACCGACTAGTTAGGTGGGGCTTGGATTATATGCTAGTAATTTTTTTAAAGCTGGATATATATAGTTCTGGTAGCGAATTTGATTTTTTTCTAACTAATTAGAAAACATGTATTTGATTGTAATCGTAATGTTTTAATACAAGATATGCTGATGAATATTTATTTTTTGTGTTTGTTAGTATACTTATAACTTACTAAGAGTTTGACTACCTTTAAGTAACTTAATGACACCGTGTAGATTTATGTATTCAGTGTTAGGGCTCATCAAAGCAATGCTAGAACTTATGATCTAGTGATCAAGAGTCAAACACCTCAACCACTGAGGCGATGTTCAGTTGGATACATAATTATACTATAGTTACTGAAATACAGGTCATAAGTTCAGGGTATTGGCTGTAAACAAACTTATCAGGAATATAAATTGTACAAGCAGTTTTATTCATATCTTTCTGGTAGTTAAGGCGAAATTCAAATCACAGACAAGTCAGATTTTGAAAAAAATTAAAACCATGCGACAGGGTGTCTTTACGGTTTGTTTACTTAATATGCCAAATTAGGCATTTCGTCACATTTATGTTTTACCTAAAATTCATAAGCCAGGTGTCTAAAGTATTAGGATTATTTATAGAGAAGAATAAAACCATGGTAAGCTATGATATTGTGTGTTTATGCACTAGTACTCCAATTGGTAGATGCCTAAACTTTATCAGTGTTTTACTACAAAATGACCGTATTTTATTTAGCATATGTCTTTTAAGTATCACTTTGATCATAAAATCCATCAAACGATGCTTAAATTCAAACTTATTTACCTTCAATGGATTATTATTATACTAACAAACAAGCGAACTAGGAATGGGATTCCCCGCTTTCTGATTGAAGATAACCTTTTATGTTATGTACAGAATAAAATACTTTCACCAATGACATAGAACTACGATTTTAGATCATATATGTGGACGTTTTCATTGTTATAAAGGAAATAACGTTCCTAAGGACTTCTTGTAAACTGATTAATACCCTCTCATCCCACATTAAATTCACTTACGATAATGAAAATAAACATAGTGAGTTGTCATTTCTAGTTTGCTTGGTTAAAAATGATCAATGTATAAATCTGATTCTAATCACCTATCATAAACCAAAATAATCTAATCACCATATTGACTTCAATTCAGCATGTTCATTCAGTGCATAGTTCTTTCTGGTTATAAATCTCTTAAAAAGCGCGACAAGGATTATTACACATGAAGACGAAAAGCAAAAGGAACAGAAGAATAATGATAACAGCTTACAGTTCGAAAGTTTTCCTTTAAATATTATCAAAAACGTACTAAAACGAGCCGATTTATTACTAAATAGTATGTTAGAAGAAATATTATGGATTTGTTACCTACTTACTGACTATTAGTCCGCTTAAAGCATAGATCACCAACCAGCATTCTACAAACAGCTTCAACGTACTCTGTCCACTCCAGTTGTCTCCAAGTGTTGTGCTCCCTTTTAGTCCCTCTGTTATTTTAGAAGATACCTTTATGATCCTGGATCAATAAGAGTGAGTGATTTTCACGCTTCTTCGGACAGCATCATTGAAACTCGTGTGTGAGAGGCATTTTTCTTCTTCGTGATCAGAGTGCAATAAACGATTCTGCTAAGATTGAACTTTTCTGTCCAGTTTATGTCCAACGAGTTTGTCATAGTTCAAGCATTTCCATGTTGTATCATTTCATTTTCACAGTCACTTAAATAGTCCTGTGGTTTCTTGAATAATGCGGACATCGCATGTACCTCGTTTATTGATGTTGTGATTGTCCGAGGGGACATCAGGTTGTTGATTTCGGAATAATCATTTTGCGTCATAATTCTCCTAATCGAAGACTTTTCTACTCCTAAGGTAGGGTTTAAATAGTTTGAATGATGTTTATCTAGGTAGCGTTTTCTAACAATGTCCTTTTCTACAGGATGGGATTGCTAACCCTATGCTCAAGCCTCCTCCTCAGTCTGGTCTTGGGACTGGCATTGTCCTGAGAAGTGCTCCATGTGAAGTTCAAAAAGCGATTCAAATGTTCTTAAAACCATACAAAACCGAAGCATACTAAGGAACAACTAACATTATTTGAAATGAGTTCGTAGGTATCATTACCAAGGTTTGACTTGATAATTTCGAATAAATTGAGCATTGGGTGGATTGTTATCAATAAATAATATATTTGTAATATTCCAATGGGAAGAAAAATTAGATTTTCTAACGTTTCGTGACAGCGTAAGCCACTTCCTCAAAGAAAAATAGATCGTTTTGAAGAAATGGCTTACACTAAGTCACGAAACGTCAGAAAATCTAATTTTTCTACTCATTGGGATATTACAAATATATTATTGATTATTTGAAATATTGTAATTTGTATAAATGATAAGATTCTCCTTTTTCAACATAGAACCGTGTCAAAAGTTTAAGTGTATGGATTGTGATATCTTATATATTAAAGAATCATCTATTGAAATCTTGACTTGATCCAAAGAAAATCTATGTTACACAGATAATCAACAAATAATGCTTTAGAACTTTAAAACCTTCAAACTCGACAGACTAAAACAGTGCATGGCGTCTTCAATAACCATCAGATCGATATTAAAAATATCAAAATAATACAAGAAGTCCTTTGTAACTACGAGAAACGGAAATTAGCTGAAGCTTTGCATGTATTACTAAATCCTACTGTGGTCAATTAAAAAGAAGCCCTCATCATCCATCCGGCTACGACCATTTATCCAAGCTACTATATATGAACCTGTTCACATCTCACATATTTATTCAACTCGACTCTTTCATCATACAAATGTCTTTTTTTCACACCCGCAATTACATAAGCGTGTCACATAAAATTACATTAACCGAATTGACACGACATTGACATGATCAGACCTGTTTTTTTGAATGATAGTGCTCAATATTTTTACTTTGTACTATTGTACTAATTAAACTTGAGTAATTCAGTACATTCTCTGATGAAGTGAGTTCCATGAAGTTACGAAATGTCATGAAAACAATATAAATGATTTTAGCTTGACGAAATGTCGTCATTATCATCATAAACAGATTACTTGTGAATTCTATTTTATTCTTCAGATATCCTATAAATATAATATTATGTTTCTATTAAAATAGTCAATTTAACTATGAAGTAGAGAGATTTGTGGAAATTTATAACTTGTCCTATTCGGGATCATCTTTAATAATCTCAGTACCAATACATGTTTATAAGCTAAAACAATTACGACACTTAAAAACTGACTGACTATAAATAAAAATCAATTTTTACCTTATTCATATGACTAATAATCAATATAACAAAATTCTTTTAAATGATGAAATTAAATTACCGGATCAAAGATCTTAATACTTTATTAGAAAAGTCATTTTAATTGAACGTCTTGAAGTATTTTGATAATAATGTGGAAGTTACATTCATATATACTTAACATATCTATAACCCTTTTAATTTTTATTCATAACATTATTATGTTGTTTAATTTAGTGTATCATCTTCCAACAAATCTAGTTACAAGAGAACTGGATATAGAATTGAACACGATACATCGATTAAATAGTCATTTATTTACAAAAATTGTTTTAATATTATGTGGTTCATTGATATGTACATTTTATTGGATACTGGTTTTGATAGTTAGATTTAATTGGAATGATTTGAATTATTCTCAACAAATAATAAACAATTATTTAATATATTTTTGGAATTTATTTATCTTACCTTATATACTGTTCTCATTAATGCTTAGTATTTATACTATACTAATTATGATAGATGATATAAGTTTACTCAAAGAAGATATTTCAAACTATATGTATAAGATATTTGATGCTCTTGGATCAACAGAATTTTCAGGTAGGCATTTTAAAATAATTGCTAATTGATTATTTGTTTTAGTTAATTCTATCACAAGTAAAGGAAGATCAATAAATGTTGATTAATAGATAAGCATTTGAAATTATAAGAAAACTATCAGTTACTCATATGTAGTGTAAAATCTAACACATATGAGTATCAGTTCAAGTTGCGAACAACAGGGATAAAATTACGAAGATAAACGACAGATTAGCAGAATTAACAAAAGTTTCTATGGCAGTAAGAAAAATTAGACATGCAGAACATGATTTCAGAGAAGATTGATTCATGGAATTTAAAGTGTGAGATAATTTATAAACGAAAAGTGAAAAGAGAAAAGTGGATGGATGTGATACATTGTAATCGATTCTGAGCCATGTCAACTGTCTAAAACCGCTAGTCTAGTAAATAACTATGACTTCACTCAAGTAGTCTGTTACTAATTAGACGACTTGTTTGTGGATTGATATCACGTCTCCATCTGGCCTCCTTTGGTCCTTTTCCAGCCTACTCATGTACGAGCTAACATCCTGAGTTAAGGTAGATGGTGGCTGGACATTTGTAACATATGTTCAAAATGCATTACCTGATGAAGACAACGAAATGACAGTTGAACGCTCATAAGAATAGATGGGAAACATTGATTTGTTTTGAATTTACTCTCAATCACTCAATAAAATAACAATATATCTTACTTCTGATTAAATCATTCAAAGTGACCAAAAGTAGGAAGCGGTAAATTGTGAATAGTAGTGGGGATTAAGTTCTGAAGACTAGTAAAAACCAACTGTGTAAAACTTGAAGATGAATTCATAAAAACGGTTAATACTCATCGGTATTTTAGTTGTATAACCTGAAAAATTTCCTTAACTACTGGTCTAGTAATGTATCTTTACAACTACAACAAGTTGTTCTATGGTTTATTCAGTCGTCAGTTAACCTTTAATGTTAACACAAAGTTGACATTATTAATCCTAAACTTAAGTTTCTAAATTAATGAACGTATGTTTGAATACTCCATAGTTAAGATTGTATGGTTGCGTCGTGCTTATGTTTAACTACCACCGTTTTTTGCATTTAATGGTGTATGAAGAGAAAAAAGAACATCGAAGGCCTCACAAAAAACAGGAAAAGAGCCTACATCTGTCTGTGAAACTACTGAAGACGGATCTCATTTTGGGTACCAGCTGTGAGATTTTGAGTTAAGATTGACAGTTTGTAAACATGGGCATCAGTATGTTATCAGCACAGAGGTTGGGTATGGAGAATGATTGATGATATCCTACCACTCATTTTTACCTTTAGACCTCATTAAAGCATCATATGTTTCGTACCTGATAATGAGGGAGGTATTTCACGTGTTTTAAACTTTTATACTGTTTTGCCTTTATACCTTAACAACATGTACGTAGCAGTTCAGCTAAGTGATCTCTTATCGGCGATTTTATTTCCAAAAGCTGTTTAATTTTATGCAGACAGATATATACTCAGATTCGAAACACAAGAAAGAGCTGGAGTTTTCTGTGGGACCCTTGAAACGATACCTTACATTTGTGATCTATTTATATTCATCGTTTCGTTAATGATATCTCACTTTATTCTTAAAATCATTGCTTGCTGGGAATAATCAGTTGTAACTTTCGACTTTCAAACTAGATTCTCAATGAACTCCACTCTCTTCAGTTTGGATAGTCAAATTTTATCACTAGCTTTCCTAGTGTTAACGTAGTTAAAAGCTAATGAAATAAATTTTTACTTGCTTAAATTGCAGCATTCAAAACCAAATTTTTCCATATTTATGGTTGGATGTTGTCTGTCCTGTAGTATTGATTGAATCCTATCAATCAAGTTAAACTGTGAACACTAGTTTAAGTGGGTTAACGTCGTGCGTACCATGTTGAGATGTAAGGTGATGATTGGAGGTAATCGACAGGAGAATGTGGACCTGGATTTCCAGCTATTTGGAGCTCGTCAGCAAGGTATGCTTGTGACCTTGAGAAGACATATGTTTCCTGGCGAATTCAATCACATTTTCCTTTAAATTAAGCGAAAAAGGATGAGTGAACATGTACCCAAATGGTTGCAAAAACAAATACAATCAAGTAACCCAATAAGAGCAGAGGATAAACATCCATCATCCTCTATTGCTAAACATATAGTTGAAACAGGGCACAAGATTGATCTAAACTCGGCTTTTGTGGTATTATATAAAAGTATAAAAGGGCATATACTAAAATTCATACGAAAATTCAAATCCCCTTTGTGTATTCAAAAACAGTTTGTTCTTACCTTAAACCTACCCTTGTAATATTGACTTATTATCCAGAGTGATTAGGTTTTGAATTGTGTTCAGATTATTTTTATATATAAATGCTCTTAACAAGTATATGTGTGATCAGATTGTTCGAAATGTATTGCGCTAATATATCACGTATTTCAGATAATCTCTGTCTTCTTATTACATTATCGAAAAAGTTACTGAAGTTCAATCTATTGAACAGAAGAGTAGTGATTTCTATAAAATAAACAATAATTACATCGATGTGAACACTGTTTAAGATTTACATAAAAAAACTAATTAGAAATGTTGTAAAAGAGTAAATTTCTGGGAAGTGGTGTCTTTTGAAATTATTTTATGAACTATTATATTTATTGTACAGTTATTAAATAGGTGGATAACTGTATTTCTATATACGTCGTAATATTTTTTTAAAATCCATTAATTATTACGTCCCTCAGTTATTACGTTTTATGGTATAGAAGTAGGTTGGAAGAAAGCTAGGGACGGCCAGACCAAAACATCGAACAAATTCATGAAGTCACTGACAAGTGGACTGAGCCATGTTGGTAGGTGTAGACTACCTGGTTGGGATCTGCAAAACGATAGCAACCGATAGTTAGAGACCTTGAATGATATGGCTCAAAATCGTTTGTAATGGCTCAGGTGCATCCACTCTTTATGTTCTCCCAAATTCTAACCTTCTGGATTCTTCATGTCACTTGTTTTTTCTCTTTTCAAATTTATTTTACTGGATTATACTCTTTAAATAACATCTTCAAACCCTGATCTTTCCAATTACGCCCTATACCTTTACTACCTCTACCACCATGGGATTTGAGCCGATAATTGTGTATCTGTGCTAATGCGGTATGGCAATTTGATCTGATGTACATATGTACGAAGTTCTACGTTGTTACTGACTGACTGACTGAATTATTCACTAATTATTCCGTTCTCTACCACTTATGATTTGAGTATGTATACAATATATCTTCTTATTTTGGATATGATTTTACCTAATAGTTCATGTATTTTTCTATTGAAAATGTGAAACATTTTCTGATATTTGTTTTTAAGTTACATTTTATGTAAACAATTGTATTCAAAATATTCAAAGTGATTTAATTTGTTTCTTCTTTCTGTAAAAAATAGTTAGTCGAACAAATCAACTTATCAACCACTTGGAAAGGTTACAATATGATTTTACTTGTCGTGGTATTGAATCTCAAATTTACTGGTTATTGAACAAATATTCCCTCTCAGTTAATTATTTGAAAAGCTTTCATTCTCCTAGTCATATTTTTATAGAATTATTGTCTGATCTATGGAACTTTATCAAACAAACAGAATTCTTACTGATCAATAGTTGTGGTCAAAATAGAACAAGTGAATGTTTAATGCAAACTTTATACCCAAATAAAGATTGGAACGATAATAAAATCACTTTTATTATACCTGTTAACGAGAGTGATTGTACAACATCTATTACTTTGCAATTGGCCAGTGAGTTAAATTCTATAGTGTGGATGTACTCAAGCTTAAATATTGGATTACATATAGTCCAGTTACTTCTGAGCATAAATACGTATGCAAATGTTTTACCAAATATTTCATGCAAAAAGTGGTCTTTAACTCTGCCCAAGTTTATTCGAATTCTGGGACCTTGTTCAAAAGCTTCTACACAACATGATACTGGATTTTTGCTCAACGAAACAAGGAAAGATGCGAATATGAATGGTTCTCATACTCACACTCATGATTTCATGTCAACTGAAGATGAGGAAATATCGACCAAAACGTTATTTCATCCCTCGGGTTTCATCAAAGAGTGTAAAGATACTCCGGTACTTGAAAAACATTTTAAAAAGAATGTAGATAGTTTAAAGATAAGATCACATAAGCACACTAACGGTTTAAGAAGATATTTCAATATTAGAACTACATTACGACCTTGCGACACTAAAGTGTCTTGTTGCTGTGCTAAAAAATCATTCCTCTTTGGACCAGTTGGTTATGTGTCTAACTTAAAATTATTGAAAGCATATCAAAGCTTTCATTTATATAGTAGGCCAAGTGGAAAAGAGCCTGATAATTTACTTGACAAAGCAGATTCTATTGAAAATACGAATATTGGCTGGAAATTAAAAGATTCATCAAAGCAACAACCATATGTTATTTATATCCCTAAACTTAACTTCAAAACGAAAAGGCTAAATGAATGTAATAAGTTCCAATATTGGCTGAAAAAAAGATGGCCGTTTTTGGACGCTTTAATATACGATGCTAATGACAAGGAGGATAAGAGGATCAACCACATGCACAAAATTTATTTATTATCTATTTTACGATGTATCTTTTTTTTAAGTTTTGGTTACATATTAAGTAGAATGATAACTTTAATTATCAGAAACATTTTCTCTACCAGCGTTATGGTAGAAGTTGAGTATTTAACAGTTGAAAACTATGCAGAAGATTCTTGGATCAACACAAAGCATATCAATGAAGCCTATGAAATTTTACAAGAGGTTGAGAAACAGGCAGATATGTTTATCATGATAACAATTGTTATAAGTACTTTAATTTCGTCACGTGTACGTTGTTTATTATTATTAGTTATACCGACATTTGGATTAACAGTTGGTCATATACTCTTTGCAAATCAATTGATACACACGTCATTTATTGGACCAATGACATCAATCGAATACAACCTGAAAACATTGAGAAATGTTTTCAGTTGTTTAAACGAACATATGCATAATTTTTCAAGGGTTTCTGATAGGTTCAATTACACTGATTATACGCATTATGATGCGAGAAATTCATCAACTGACTTGATTCTATCCTATGGCACATCAAGTTATTTACCCATTTCTTTAAAAATGTTGCGAATAATGAATGAAGCCGGTAGAGATTTGAGTGAAGCAGTTTCCGAGTATCAATACAATTTACCTTCGTTGGATAAATTGGTAAGTGAAACAAAAAAGGAACCACTTTTTATTTAATATGTTATTGACCAAAATTAGCGAAAAGGAAGTCTCCTTTATTCTAAACATGTTGATTTAAAGAATGGAACACTTGATGAAATGAAATATAGCTGAGAAGATGGACTATATCCAGCTTTATTAAAAAGATACATGAGGTGTTAACTTTATTGTGGTTATGAAAATTTATCTAGGCCTAATCTTTCTCTAAATCCTTAGCGCTTGATTCCTTTTTATTTATTCACTCATATGGTTCCTTTTTAATATATAATATCATAGTTTTACCGTTGTTTTTATGATTCCATCAAATTGTAATGAATTTCAACTTAAAATGTTTAAGTATTTTAACAGAGAATTTTAGTCTCAGTATTAAGTGGTGTTCTCGTTTATTATAAGTATAACTTTACTTTAGGAAATCGTTGGTTTATTGTCGAGTGACATATGTAAATATTTTTTCCTGCTACTATTTTTAATGTTTGGATTCCAGATTTTTTTGTTTTTTAAAAAATAAATTTTATCTATTTGTTGTATAGTTTGAAGATGAATGTAGTTAGAGAAATGAGATTGACTGGATATAGTTATTTTAAATATCTAAAATGCAGATGTGCTCGTTTACAGATTTTCCCAGATTAGAATGATTTGATTTAGTCATTTGTTCGGGTAAAAATATCAGGAATACTGAAAAGACTTCTGTTCAATGACCTTTTGATGTTTATTTTAACCATGAGTGAACACTGATTATTTGTTATTAAATGCAAGAAATTCATCAAGTATTTTTTGTTGTAGTTAAAGACTAAATTGACTTTAATAAACCTCTTAATTAACATGTGAAAACGTAAGGACAATTATTTGAATAAAACACTATGAATTCATTTCATTTCGTAATTTAGTGGTTGTAAGCAGTATGCGTTAAATTTTGAACCTAGGTTTCGTACTATTTTGACACTCTACAGCAAATTGTACATAGAGTTTGTTAGAGAACACCCATTCCCTCAAAACTACATCTAAACCTTACTAACGAGTGCCAAATGAGACAAAACATACTTACTTACACCTGTTACTCCCAATGAAGCATTCCCCAACTCACTCTGTCCTGCGCCTTCCTTCCCAGTCCTATCCAACTGTTGTTCATTTTTCTCACGTCTGTCTCCATTTCTCGGCGCAGTGTGTTCTTTGGTCTTCCTCTTCTCTTTTGGCCTTGAGGATTCTATGTGATGGTCTACCTTGCGACACAGTTGAGCGCTTCCTTCAATGTGTGTCCTATCCACTTCCAGTACTTCTTCCTGATTTCTTCCTTCGCTAGAATCTGATTTGTTTACCCGCATAGTAGGTTGTTGCTGATAGTGTCTGGCCAACGGATCCGAACAGTTTTGCGTAGACAGCTATTAATAAACACTTGTATCTTCTGGATGGTAGCTTTCGTAGTTCTCCAGGTTTCCGCCCCATACAGTAGAATTGTCTTGTCATTTTTATTGAAAATTCTGACCTTGGTGTTGGATTGCAGACGATTGTCTCGAGTTCCAGATGTTCTTCAGTTGTAAATATGCTGCTCTTGCTTTTCCGATCCGCACCTTCACATCTGCATCAGATCCACCATGTTCATTGATGATGCTGCCCAAATATGTAAAGGTTTTTACATCTTCCAAAGCATCTCCGTCAATTGTGATTAGATTGGTGCATCCTGTGTTGTCTCCGAGAATCTTGTTTTTCCGTTTATGTATTTTGAGACCTACTGCTGCTGAGGCTGCTGCTACACTGATCGTCCTCTCCTGCATTTGTTCTTGCGTGTGTGATAGAAGGGCCAGATCATCTGCGAAGTCTAGATCGTCCAGCTGCATCCAAGCTGTCCACTGTATCCCATGCTTCCCCTCAGATGTTGACATCTTCATGATCCGAGAAAAATCATAGGTTCTAGGTTTCTTGCTGACTACTCCAACCACCACCTTAAATCTGAATATAGTGCACGTAATGTCGAGTCACTTAGACTAGTGGCCATATTACAATTCAGTTGACTGGGTTGACTCAGCGTTAAGAAGGATTTGATGTAACTGATATCGGTCACTATTCAGTGATCAATCAGTTGTAAATTCATTTTGTTTTCATTTGATTCTTGTTCAGAGTTTGAAATCTATTTTAGTTAATTATATACATAGCTTGGCAAATTTACAAAAATGCAGATTGACAGTAATTAGTATGAACATGTTTCAGCGTAATGGATCAATAGTACAAATAAAGTTAACTAGATTAAACGAGATGCTATGATCAAATATCATACATCGAAAAGAATCGTCACAAAAAATCACGGGATTATATAGTTAAATAAGTAAACGTAGATTAGCGATAAATAAGACTTAGTCAAACATGACTATTTAAAAAATTAAAATTTCGAGCTGAAGGAGATTTGAAAATTACTTACTTGACATGAGGGTGATTAAGGATGAATATATATATCATGATGTAGTGAAGATTCCGATAGAGTTAATGAGGTCATAAAAATTTTGTTTCGAATAAATAAAGTTTGGGAGGGAAAGTTCCAGACTTACGCCTGATACTCCTCGTGAAGGAGCATAGGTCGCTCACCAGCACTCTCCATCCAACTCTGTCCTGGGAAATCCTTTCCAGCTCTTTCCAGTTCTTATTTATCCTTTTCATATCCGCTCCTATTTCCCGACGTAATGTGTTCTTTGGCCTTCCTCTTTTCCGCTTCCCTTCAGGATTCCAAGTTATGGCTTGTCTCATGGTGCAGTTTGATGATTTGCGTAATACATCTCCTATCCATTTCCATCGTCTTTTCCTAATTTTCTCTTCAGTTGTAGGAATGCGGCCCTTGCTTTGCCAATCTTCGCATTTATGTCTGCATCTGTTCCTCCTTGTTCATCGATGATGCTTCCCAGGTATGTGAAGGATTCCACATCTTCCAGAGTTTCACCATCAAGAGTGATTGGACTGTTATTCTCCGTGTTGTATTTGAAGACCTTGGTTTTTCCCTTGTGTATGTTGGGGCCTACTGATGCAGAGACTGCTGCTATGCTGGCTGTCTTTATCTGCATTTGTTCATGTGTATGTGATAGAAGGGCTAGGTCATCTGCGAAGTCCGAATCGTCTAATTGATTCTGAGCTGTCCATTGTACGCCGAGACTTGAAAATGTTATAATTAAGTAAAAGACCTAATAAAATAAAGATTCTGCGACTAGATCACGGAAAGGTTTACAACGTTTTCTTTTTTATCAGTAATGAGATTTAATTCTCAACAGCTACATTCCTAACCAAATCTGTATAACAATTATGTAGTTATTTAGAAATCCCTTGATATATACCATAAGTCAATGAGAAGTCTAGAAGTTACCTTAATGAAAGCTCTTGCTACCAATAAACGATAACTCTTTGGAACATGTTTTTTGAACCACTTCACTATCCTACCAGTTTAGCTGCTGTGGCAGTTATAAGCACAGATCTGCGAGTTAAAAAATAGTGGCAATGGTAACACACCTAAGATTAAAATATCTAAAAACATTCTCAGTGAAAGAAATGTACGGCAGTATGGATAACCATTTATTTCATTTAAGTTGACTTATGAGACTTTGATAAGATAAATGGTTTAAACTTATGGTACTTAAGTAAAAAACATACTTTTCAAAGCTGTACAACCATATTTGCAGAAAAGAAATCAGTTTCAGTTTGAAAGAAAACCGTTTGTTAGTTTTACTAGTGAAGATCTATTTTGTTATTCTAACCTACTTTGGAATGGTTTTGTTTAATTAAATGTGATCAAATGTTAGCGTAAATAATTTCATTCGATAATGTTTTAGTGAGAAAGTTGATAATGAGCAGACTAGTAATTGTTTCTGAACTTATTAGCCTTTTTGTATTTTTGATTAAATTTAGTGTTCTAGAATTGAAGAAAAACGGGGTCACATCAAATTTGATTTTGTTAATAAGCAAATTAAAGCCTAAGATTATGTTGACTCAAGTTATCCAGTACGATAATGGTGGCAGGTTTCATTCATATATTCTATCGTTGTATGGTAGCTTTAAGGCTTCACTGATAGACTTTTCTGTCACCTACTTTTATTTACTAGACACGAACTAGTTATTTGTATGCAGCAACATAGTTATAATAGAACAAGTAATGCATACGCAAATTTCTTTTCAAATAAATGACCTAATGTTATACTCAGCGCCGAAAAGATCATAAAATCTATGAGATTTACTGCTTGACTGTATTCAGCAGATTTAAAGTTTTGAGTGATGATAACCCACAGATCATTGTTTCTCTAGACAAAGAGCAACATGACATTATTCAACCTGTATATTTTCTTACCGTATCTTCAATCTTGTTATTTGTTCATTTTCAAGTCACGTATAATGTTGTTTCTTAAGATGCATTTCATTTGATGTAATTGATCCAAGATCCACTAATTCTATTCATAAACTGTTATTGTGGCTATGAAACTGATTTTTTCTCACATGTATTTTACTAGAATTAAAGCAACTTTGAATTTAAGATGTTTTTTCATTCTGTGTTTACTTATAACAGAGCGTGGTTCTCTCTGTAATTATGTGAAACTGGCTGTAAAATTATTAGTCACATAATTCCCCCCCCCTCAGCTCCACACGTTGTTCATGAATATTTGTGATCACAAACATAAAATCTTCGATGTTATGAAATGTGACGTAATTTTTTATCAGACTGTTAAGTCTCTATCAAGATATTTATCCTAGAAATCTTTTTATTAGTAAGGGTAAGATGTCTCACAGAGAAATGTTTTTATCTCCTTGTTGTATAGTAATGTATTGTAAATGATTAGGCCAGGGAATGACCCGAAATGTACACCAGATTTTCGTTAACCATTATAAATTCAGTTCAAAATTTGTCGTAATCCTGATTAAGAAACATTTCAGTATTTCTCTTGACGAAAACTGAAACTATGAGCGCTATAATATGCAAGTAGGTTAGACTCCGCCTGAATAAGCACTGAGCATATTGTTGCTACAAAACTAGTAGCTGACACTTTGTAAACGCAGAAGACAAACCAACTAACATTACCGTAGATTATTCATTATTTAGTTAATTCCTCTTCTTTAGTTAAACTATTTTTGCATCAAATATAAAGTACAGATCTATTGTGATTGAACTATAACGGGTATGCAAACGAGACACAACAATGAAATCTGAAAATGCTTGACTTTAAAAATCATTGGAATAGTATGTTCATTAGAACATATCGCAAGTAGAAAGAAAAATAATTAGATAATAAGTTTATTTATTATTAAAAATTCTATTCCACCACAGAATTCCCAGAACCAGTGGTGTAATATTACTGCGAATATATCTTTAACATACATTTAAATTCTAACAAATCAAAACATATTTTGTACTTTTGAACTGTTGGCAAGTGGATGTCATCTTCCTAACTTGAATCGATTATTTTATTTTCCTGTTTACTTTGATTTTGTTTAGACTGATAATTATAGAAACTTAACAAATATATTTGAAAAATCTTATTCAGAATTTGATTTTGTTTCAAAACGTTTTCAAAGCGAAGCTATAAAACTTTCACATGAAATGAAAAAAAGATTTCAGAATAAAATTGAAGAATTTAAATTTAATGCTAAAATTTATAAATCAAATATAGTTACCTTGAATCAGTTTAATATGAATACAATAGATATTGAAATGAAAAATATTCAATTTGAATATGAAATGTTCAATTATTTACTTCATAAATGTATAGCTTTATATGAAAGAAAATTTTCTATTTGTTTAAATACATCACAAGTGATTTGTAAGACATTGATGAAAAATAATACATTACAAGGTGTATGGTTTAATGATCTATGTGCTAATTATTATCAACCTGAAGAATTTTGTGAATTATATAATTATATGAATGAATTAAAACAAAACTGTATTTTGGATACAAAAACCATTGGACTAGAATTTGGATTTAGTAGTTATCTTACAGAATTATATGAATTACTGGAAATGTTAAAAAAATCAGTCAAAGTTGAAATACTAATAAATAACAATGAAATGAACAGTGGAGGTGTCCAATGGATAGAAACAGAAAGAGAATTTATTGATGAAATACAATATATTAATAAAACCATAACTCCCAAAGTTAATAATTTTTTAAACTCACTTATATTAGTGACTACACTGTTTAAATCAATCTTTATATTACTTATCTACCAGGCTCATAAATATATTTCAAATTATTTATTGAATCCATACTCTAAACTAAAATATCAATTAACTGTTAGAAAACATTTAAATGAAAACAAAGAGATAGTATTACCTTTGAAATTTATTCATAAGCTTTTTAGTTTATTGAATCATTTCAGTAATATATGGATTATTATTAAAAATTCATTGAAAAACTTATTTCCAGTTATAATCTTTGGATTATTATTCTTATGTGTATTTTATTTAGATTTACAAACATATTATTTAGTGAATTTACTAGATATACTACTATTAAATAATATAAAATTTAATTATAACATATCTGACCAATTTTATAGAGTTGTCATATCTAATTATACAACAAAGTTGATTAATACTAATATTGAAAATAACTTTGTAAAATCAATTGAAAATGGTGTATTTAAAGAGATAATAAAAGGGATATTACAAAATATTGTACAGTCAAGCTACAGGCTTTTAAATGGTGATGATGGTGATGATATTAAACAATGTCGCAGATATGGACTTAAAACAGATTCAAAGTATAATAAGCAATTTTACACTACATGGATAATATTCATGGTGTTATCAGTCACATCAACTGGTTTATTATATATGCGTCATAGAATTGTAGATCTTTTTTATCCAGAGCATACAAAACATCGTAAAATAACTTTATCCAGTTATTTATTAACGCAAAGTTGTAATTATCCAGCTGAACTATGTCAACAAACTTTTGATCATGAAGAAAGTGGTTGTTTACCAGACGAAATAGAAAATTCACCACAACTATCATTTTTACGTAGAATATGTTCAAAATTCCTATATCTGTTTGGTTTCAATAGCGGTATCTGTCCTATATGTTGTGGTCAGTTTCAACCATATCATAATATAGTATATCCTAAAGACAATGCAACAATTTGTCAACAATGTTTACTGACAATTATGAATGAAGACAGTGAATAGGAAACTTGTTTAGATAATAATTTAAAACAACTGTTTATTGAAAAAACAAACATTGATCTGTTGAATAAGGATTTAAACTTAGCAACTAAAACTAATTGTTCCTGATGTAAACAATGGTGGTGTTTCTTATATTCGTCATGTGAAAATTAATGAAAGTTAAATAGTCCCAGTAGCATACTTTATATGGAAACGGTACGTTATGTACGGATTATTGTTAAACTTACTATGTATTGTTTATCAGAAATAATGAATAGTATTTATTTTAAAAGAAAAATAAATAAAGTATGCTAAAATAATTTTTTTCCTACACATCATGATAGATGCGATTACCAGTAGATAGAAATTGAAAACTTACTTTATTCAAATTCTTTTTAACACTAAACTAACGTTTTTATTAGGAGAATTAGGTGTTAACTATTTTCAAGTTGTTATTTATTTTAAACAATCCTTATCTTTGTCAAATACGTCACACCAAAAAAATTAGTCAGGAAATAAATACATTATCAGAGGAATGAAGGTTAAGAAAGCCAAAAATTTTGTGAATCACTCATTGGTACCTTAGAAATTAGGATCTGTATGAATATAGACAAAAAGTTCCTAATAAATATCTAAGTGACTTGCAATGAAGTGTTTTTGTTTCATTTAAATATAATTTTATATTTATCATGACTACAGGGACTTTCTTGTAGTAGTTGTAATCTGCTTTAGAGTAACTTAGATAAACACTTCTGTTTATGATCGAACAAAATTTATGAAGGCTATCAGAAAAAATAATTATCTGAGTTGTCAAATCGAACTGATATAAACATAGGACATCCCACTGTTCTAAAACCTTATCTAACAATTTGTAAAATAATCTGAATTGGTTAATCATCACTTAATTATATTATCTGTTCACTGGCTTGCAAAAGTCTCTTGAGTTGTGATTCTCAGATTATTCATTTAAAAGGGACTTAATACAATCTAGTCAGCTAGTGCGTAGTTATGTTGTGAACAAAAATTCAACTAAGGTGAACCAATTTATAGTTTTATGCAAAAGTACACAGTGCCTTTGTAAGTTATGGAAATCATACATTAGATACGTCATTTATACGTGTTTCTCGAGTTGTTCTTTACAAAGTCCGTCATCCTTCTAAGTCTGTTGTTATTCGGATCGCTCCTCGTTTTCCTTACTGTTCTCTTCATTTCAATCTTTTACTAATGTGCATTCCACTTCTTATTCCTGCTACATACTACTGATATCTGTTCGCATGAGAAGCGCACACCACAGCTATACATTTATGTATTGACGTTAATGACTGATTTTTTTCAGAATGTTCAAAGTGATGAAAAGCTCTCAAATCAAAAAAATATATATTCATCTTTTATAAGTGGAAATATTTCTAGCTCTTTGGAAATTATCAACGGCAAATGATTTTAGCTAAGCAGATAATTTGATAGAAATCAAGATATAACAGACATAGCCTGGAGCAAAATTATGTAACAACCAATGATGTCGAAAAGATCGAAGAAAACAAGTTTGATCTACTTTACTTTTTTCTTTTATACATATGGCAAAATATCAGTTATAAAGTTTATTATAATTTTTAGATATTTATTGACGTTAAAAGGAAACCAGTTCAGAATTACTTGAATCAATTAAATCAGTAAGAATTAATGATAGTCAGAAACGGAACAGTTTTTTTAAAATTAGTTTGCAATTTATGGGCTGCTTTTATGTTCCAGACATTACGATATCATAGTCATATGTGACAAAACTAAAGACGGAAATTGTTCATTAAGTCAGCTTGATACTTTAAAATCATATAGAAAACGGCTTGTTGCTTCGGTAACACATATTAGTTGGAGATTAGTTGATTTTGCCGGATTTAGTTTACGGAAAGCCTGAACAGATGTAATGCTATCTTATTTGTCATGTAAGCGAGGTTTGATAAAAGATCTATTCAATATAATCGAATGTATTTTCACAAATAGCATTATGGAAGACATGATAGACCTAACAAAGTATAGATTGATGTACATTAGATATCCATTTAAATTCATAAACCGATGGAAAGGCCTACAATGCTTCTGATACATAAAAATCTTGCCTTCATCATTCTACAACTTGGAGATGAACAAGACGGTACTGAATTAAAATAAAGATTTAATTGGCTGCCAGGAGACTGTACTATGCAATCAGAATCATTATTAATGAAGGAACGATTTATGAAACGATTAGCAACTGCCTTTTTGTATTGAGTGTATCAAAAATATGTTGCTTTTTGTTACGTTTTTCCATTGTTATTTGATTGACCTGGATTTCAATTGAGCAATTAATATTAAACGGCTGAATATTAACGGAATGAATGCAGTTTGGATTGCATCATTTGGAATCAAGATCCTTTGTAATCATAGTTAGATCGTCATTGATGATTTTTTTTAAACATGTTTCGCAAGGCTGAAAAACTCGAAAATTAATGTAGGTTATCAGATAAACATCCAATCATCATGGCAGGGAAAAGATAGTCACACTTTCCTTCTGTAGACACAAGTTAAATCGGAAGCGTTTAATAGCGATTACTCCAACAAAACAGAATAAGATTAGTGTTTCTTGTCCGTCAATTATTTTGAATGCATTACTTACATTTACTTCATGTGTACCATTCAAAATGTATTTGGTAATTGGACATGTGAAAACCTTATTCCCTTTCAGATGTAGTTACATGAAACACCACATTTTATTATAAATTTAGATTAACGAAATAAATACAACTCGCAGAAGTAAATTTTCTCTTGAACAACATCCTTTACTCAATCCATACTATGATATTTATAGTAATTTAATTGATGCACTAGCTGAAGTCTAAAGTGTCGTAAGAGGTTTTGCAACGATCCAAAGATTAGGAGAAAACAATTACGTCAAAACACAAGCATAAGAGGTTAATGTCCACCTGTAAACTAAGTTTTAAAATTGGAAGTGTAAGTAACTAACTAACGAGTATGAAAAACTAGAAGTGTTACAATCTTGAAGAGAATGAGGTATAATACATGCTACTTCTGCAAAAAGAGTTTAAGCTTGAAATACTCAATTGTTAAGACCTATACAATGAACAAATTATTTATTTGTGCTTCCTATCAGCAAGGTCATTCGACCGTGCAGATTATTTCTATAGACGTTTCTGGTTTCTGGCTATGTGACCGAAATCAACAAGATGTTTTAATACCGAGCTACTCATTTTTCCCATCCTCTTTTTGAAATCCATATCGGGTATCACTAAAAGATAGGTTTAAAACCTTTCGAATTGTTTTGGCTAGAAAACCTGCTTAACAAGAGAAAGTAAACCGAAAGAAACATATTGATGTGGAATTTACGTCTAGCACATTTATGGGTCACAGGTACTCTAGAGAAGATAATATGAAACTTAGTTGTACAAAACACACTCGTCATTGATTTCGAGAGTTAATCAAAGATTTCCACTGCATCATCATTAAATCTGACATTCATGGAAATTTCTTCAGAACTGCAGATAATCTTTCAAGTTTATATCGGTGAGACCAAAAGTATAACTATTTACCGAAATTGAAAGTTTTTCGTACGTTCTATCATCAATGCACTCGAGGATGAAGTGAATGAAGCCTCTCTTTAAGACGATGAAAACTAAAGTCTCTACAGTGAACAAGTTCGATTTGTCTTCCTTTTTAATCACAGTGTTTAGACAATTTTGAAAGACAGTTGTGGAGTATCAATGAGACTAAAATAAACTAGATGTTCTAGTAATATGTCATTAATTGCCCTATATTCTTATTTTGAAAGTAATGAAGTAGAGTACTGTTTACTATTCTGTTTCATCACTTAATACAAGTTCAGTACATCACACAGATTAGAATGAGACATTAGTGTGGATAGTCATTTACTCCTTACATATTATCTAAGAAAGTTCGCATCGCCTAATAAATGACTATTACTCTAAGATATGTTGAAAACATTTATTTTACACATATATTAGTAATACCATCGAGAAAAGCAAACATTTCGTTTATAAGCAGCAATTTTTAAGAAAATCTTCGTTATTCTTGCTAGTAAAGCTATTTGATGTGATTATTAAATTGTTTTAATACACATAATTTCTTTCAGATAGATATAAACAAACTAAATTTGTAAATCATGATAAATTTTCCTGAGGTCAAGATTGTATTTTGACAATCATGATTTCATACATTTGAAAACTAAGATGAGTTTATTAAATCTCACGTATATTAAGATGGGACTGAATATATACATTTCACTGATGAGTAAATATAATCACAAACACTTGTTTCAATATACAAAGAAAAAACAAATCTTAATTATTTTGAAATTAGTAGATGTACAGAAACTTACCGATCTTTAAAATCTCTCCCCCCCTAATCAATGCTTTAACAAACTTAAATCCTTTCATTATTCTCAAAATGTTGGCTTACAAGGAATTAATTACACATGAATATATTTACATGAACTTCTATACTAAATAATTTCATATATGCATATTAATATTATTGTATATTAAAGTAGAAACCTGATAAAAATCTAATCAAAAACAATATTGTTCCCTAAACAACAAAATATTGTATAAATTCAAATAATAAACAAGACAAAACAAAAAAACTTACATAATAATCAAGTTTTATTTATAATTATAAGCACACATACACACACAAAAACAATTCATAAATGATAGTTTACATATAAATTTTATTGAATTTAATTATTGATTTATTGTTTCTATGTTAAATTCATTTAATCAACAAACAAAAAACTTTTTATTCATTATATTTTTTTGTTGTTGTTTAATATTTAAATTATTGATTAATTATAATTTGTTTTAATATTGAAATATTATTATTAATTTTTTGTAGTTTTTGATAATTTCTATCTAAACAAGTAATACATATTTTATGATTATTAAATAAATTAATTAAACAATATTGACATATTACTGTATTATCATATGGGCATATATATAATAATGATTTTTTATTAATGATATATTTTTCCATACATATAATACAATTAATTTTATTATTTTTATTAAATAAATTATCTAATAATGAATAATACGAACGTTTTGTAATTTGTATTTGTAATTGATTATGTCGTGATTGATAAACAATTAAATTACGTAAAGTGGTCATTTGACGTCGTCTATTAACTAATAATTTATTATATAAATAAATAAAACGATATTTTGAACAATTTGGATAAAAAATATTTAATAATTTATGTCTTAAACGTAATATATAACCAGATAATAAACAAAAAATTATCATTAATAACCATAATATAATAAAATGTACAAAGTATCTAGACTTTATAAATTCAACTTTAGGACTACATACATTTAAATTATAAATAAGATTTATTTCACTAGCATATTGTAAAATTTTGATGGTTTTTTGAAGTAATTCAGTAAAGATTCCATTACCTTTTAAAATGAATTGATATTTATCTGATATTGAATAAATTTGTTGAAATGTATAATTTTTATTATTTATTTCATTAGTAACTTTAAATGTTGTACTTGATATTTCATCTAATACTTGAACCAATTCAGTCATATAAAAATCAATAAAGAATATGATAGATAAACAAAAACTGAAACCCACTACTTTAATTAAATTTTGAATAACACGTTTTAATTCAATTCTTGTATACATTTTTTGATGCCATATTATATTGTTTAATTCATACGTTTTTAATGGTAGTAATGTTTCACGTAATTCTTTGGAACGTTTATCATCAATTTTTTCAAATGGTGATTCAATGTAAATATTATCATGATCCGGATCTAATAAATAATTTGTTATGTAAATATGAGCTTTATAAAATACAATTAAACAAATTGTTCTTAATAAATAAGTTAAAATTAAACTCAGTTTAATGATAACATATATGATTTCTTTTGTATGTTTAGTTACACGATCAATAACTCTAGATCTTTGATTAAACCATTTAGTGATTTGTTCAAATTGAAACAATTTATGTTGTATGGTAAAGTGAAATGTTTGTTTAATATTATATAAATCTTGTTGAGCTTGTAAAAATAAAGGACCGAATCCACTAGAATAGCCTATTTTCGCTAAACTTGAACTACACTGATTTATTGCATTTTCAAGTGCTTGATCAGTTGGACACGCTACACCAGAAGCAATTTTTCGTAGACAAGTATTTTTTATCAATAAGGGATAGCGTGTTGTTGCAATAAGAATAGTTTGTAAACGGCTACATGCTTTAATTGATGATTGTTCACATATCATTGAACGTGTTTTGTAGAAGACCATACATGTTTTTTGCATACGAGTTTCCATACTGTATTCTATTTGTAAGCCATTCTCAATACGATCAGTTATTTGTTTTATTATACTTTTATTGACGCTTTTGTCTTTCAACATTGTAATGATGCTATCTTTACTTGCTTTAGCTGTTTTAATCATTTCATGTTTAGCCTGTTTAGCCATTTCCATAGATATACGGGCATATACATTCGTCTCATTAATACTTGAGCCAAGAAAAGATTCAGCACGTTTCACCATGGTTTTCGCTTTTTGAATCTAAAATAAAATAAAATAAACTATTTCGTTAACTAAAATTCATATAGCTGTTGTTTAATTTGAAGTATGGTGTATAAGCATAAATTTCACTTTTATTCATGTAGTTGTATTCAAGTGTGTTTTTATCGTTCTAACTTACTAAAAATGTAGTTTGTGACCCATGAATTGAATGTAAAATTTCAAGAAAAGTTATTTTTTTATCACGCAATCAATGTCAAGGGAAGGATTTATTTATAAATGATGTCGCAACGTTGACTGGGGATAAACTCTACGTTTTCAAATCATTTAAGCGTATCGCAGTCAATAATTGCGTTTATGTTTTCTTATATTTAGTCACTCAATCGTAAATATTTTGGAATACTTTCTATTATAAAATGTCTTGTGCTATGTTGTAATTTTTCTCCAATTATGACTGACTGCCTTACACTTGATATGTCCATAGCATGATGGAGTGTTATTTTTGTCGTAGAACACTACATTATTCATATAATCCAGCAAAAACAACAAAGAACGAAATGCGTCATTTAACATTGAATTACGATAGTGTAAGTAATAATTAAAACACCAATATATGGAAGAAGAATATTTTTTTCAAGAATTTCTCTTCGGGTTCTATAATTATAATATCCAAATTAATAACCCAAAAACGTGGACAAGTTGAAGGCGAAGTAAATCATCTAAAGTTATAGCGTATAAATTAAGCATTATTTGTTACATAAAATATGATTCCCGCTTCATTTTGGTTGATCACCAGGTGCAAGTTCAAGATCTTAAATGAGTTAGAAGTTTTGCTCTTCATTTTGGATAATTACTCTTAATTTGTTTATAAATAGTAAACATGGGTGAAATCTATTGATCAGTATAAAAAACATTAGCAAAGTTGTCTAACAACCCCTTCAGCAAACACTGTAATAAATGTTGTTATCTATTTCAGTGATTTTCTCAAGTATCAATTAACTTAGTGAGTCATTCACCCTACAAAGAACGAAATAACTAGATCGCTTCTTTAAATAGCGTTTGAGATTAACTAAGTTTTTAAACGTTTGCATCAAGATTACCAGGGTGATAGATGTAGATAAGTGTATTTTTATTAATATAAACATCATCCATATCATAGGAAAATATTATTATTCAGAAGCTTAGCAATTCCCAGAAATTGATGTTGGATCAAATTTTACTGTTTAGTTAGTCCAGGCTGGCGTTGGACTAGGGGGCTAAGGCACATCGATTCAAACTGTCATACTTTATGTCAGCGTGGGTACAAAAATATTAATAAAATATAAAACATATGAGAGGGAATTTTATGAAATACATTGAAAATATTATTCAGATGGAGTAAAGTATGTAATGATGCTAGACTCTAGATTTAAAGAAACATGAACAAAGAATACATTTCATTACAATTTATTATGAGTCGTTGTGGATATATATTGTAGATGTTGAAAAATTTTACTTTGATATTAGTGCTGCTTCATTTTAGGTCAGATTTTATGCATAATACAAAGTAGTTTGGGATGATCAGTGAACTTACTTCTAAATAATGGTAACTATACACGGTACAATCATAGAATTTCTTTACTATCCTAATTTATAATGTGGTCATTTTATTTTCTGGGACTACTGGTAACTTTTCAGTAATCAAAGTTTAACAGTTTAGTAACCCTATTTCTGATCCTTTGAAAAAATATACTCGTATACATTAAAACAAGACTAACGTGTTCATAAACTACTTAGAAACCATTTTACTGTTTCCTTATTTATTCCATCATAAAGCTTAGTGCTCATGAAATACCACTATTTACTAGAATCTATCCATAGATATTTAGAAAGGTAATTTCAATTCTTTTCCTCAATTTCCAAGTGTGAATTGACGTTTTTACAAAGAATTTTATTTCATTCAGTGCAATAGAGATAATTTTAAAAATTTACTAATACTTTCAATATCAACTTACTTCTGCATTGATATTTTGAATTGATTCGTTATATTGGTTTATTTTTTCTTTAAGTTGAGCAGATCTAACTTTAATAGTCTCAATATAATTTAAATCTCCTTCTGATTCAATATCTTCTTTACCCCTCTCCAGAAAATTGTTTATATCTCTTGTCATATTGTAGGCTAGTTTAATGAAACAAATTATTGATTCAGACGCTGAACGAAGATTATGTTCTAAATTTTGAACAGGTCCTGTTATAGACACATATAACAATTCATTGCCTAAATAGGATAAACCAATTGTCTGCGCTAAGCTTGGAATTATTAATAGGAGAAGACAACGAAATCTGCATGATACCAGGGCAGTTAGTGTGATTGTAATTCGAATAAATATTCTAGCTATCCACTCGACATCATTTGCCAGTGCTTCAGCATCTCTTTGAATAATATAATCTGGTATTCTTTTATCACCAGCAGTCAATTCATTAGCTTCATTTTTAACAGGTATTACTGTTGCTAAGAAGAACTCACCAATCAAGATCCCGAACAACAAGAAGCATATCATTCTTGAGAGTCGTGAAATATAACCACCGTAGATCATATTTGCTTCAATCTCTTCTTTATCATTACCGTCAGCATAGATTATCATTTCAAAAGCTGGTATCGAATAGCGCAGAAACTGGCGAAACTCATTCAATTGTACATCTTTTTTCCGAAAGTTTATTCGATGTAGAAATGTTACGTAATGTTTGTCTTTATTGTAAAACATCCAACCTATACGTATACTCTTTTCCAACCACTGTGATTTCAACCTTCGAAACTGTAGCTGCGTAAAAGCTGGTTGTCCAAAAAGCCAATAACTTCCACAGGCAATCGATAAGTGTGAGTTAGATATGTAACGAGTGTTTTTCAATAGACTGAAATGAACTGAACTCGTAAAAGAGTACTGTTTGATTTCTACAAGTTTATTTAAATTTTTTCTTTCAGTGTGATTATAGACAACACAAAATATAGTCAACCGTATGATATGTAGACATATGCCTATAATGCCGTATTTAATAGTAAAAGTGTACATTATCTGTCGTTCTTCAGCAGCTACCCTGTTCAAACACCCGTCTGTATAAATAAAGGTAGTACTGTTATGAAGTGCTTGATCGTTTGTGGAATGATATGTTGTCAGTTTGATTGATTTCAGAAAATATTGAGAACAACTAACTGTTTCCTCTAGGTTACAACAGCTTTTCGGAATACTATTGGAAACCCCTTCCCATGGATCCAGTAATTCATTACTTAGTTCAGTAAACAATCCCTGGTATTGGGTTACATCAAGCCAGTCTTCTATAGAATATATTCCACAGCACTTATATTGTCTTTGTATATTTTCGAAATATTTGAAATATATGATAAGCTGATCAGCTAACATAATGAAAAAATGAAAACGAAGAGTTGCTGCTAAATAAAATATCTAAAATAGTACACTTTTCAGAATTAATAAAAATTTACTTAATACGTGATCAAATAGTCTTTATAATGAAAACCTGGACAATATATTCTATAGTCTGAAATAGTTCATAAAACTAGTCAAATAAATGCGAAAAGAAAGTCAATAGGATTAAAAGCACATAGTACAAGGATGAATAATATGCTGTAATTTGAAAACAAGATTAAAAATATGTTTTTGTAAACATGAAATATATAGATTTTGAAGGTATTGTGGTTTTCAGCTTCACCTGTAGTTGTTCTAGGTTTAATGCCAGTCCCATGCCCACACAATAAGGGGTTTGGCCAACGCCACCCCAAAGAAAAAAACCTTGCTAAAGAAACGCTAGCCAAAAAAAAACAATTCAAGTCATTTAAACTCTGTCCTCCGAGTTAAAGAATCTATATTCAAAGGAAATATGACGACTCATGGAGAAAGCCCACATTCTTCGGAAGTCATGAGGCCGATTACCCTTCCAAGAACCAGAATAACAATTTTTACAGGTACATGAAATGTTCAGACAATGTGGGAGACCGAGAGGACCAGTCAAATAGCTGCGAAAATGAGGAGATACAAAGATACGGTGTTCGGAATCACTGAAATCCACTGAGCCCAATCTGGGCACAAAAGTTTACATCCAGGAGAAATGCTGCTCTACTCCGGTTATGAAGAGGAAAATGCTCCACACACTCAGGAATTCGCTCTGATGTTGTCTAAAGAAGCACAAAAAGCACTTATAGGATGAGAATCTCATGCATCCAGAATCATTAAGGCATCCTCAAAAACAAATAAGGAGGCAATCACAACGAATCTCATCCAATGGTATGCACTCACCAATGATAGCGACGACGACAATAAAGATCAGTTCTACGATAGGTTGCAAGCAATCATAGCTAAGTGCCCAGGAAACGGCTTGAACATCCTGATGGGAGACCTAAACTCCAAAGTCAGAATGGACAGCACCGGATATGAAGATATTATGAGATGACATGGACTGACTGGGAGAAACGAATGACAATCCAGAGAGATTTGCAAATCTATGTGTATTCAACAAATTGGTTATAGGCGACAAAATATTCCCACACAAACGCGTACACAAAGCCATATGGATCTCACCGGACCACACCACGGAGAACCAGAAGGATCATATTTGCATCAATAAAAACTTCCGAAGGACAATAAAAGACGTGAGAACCAGGGGCGGTGCTGACATATCTTTAGATTACTACCTGGTTGTGGCCAAGATGAAATTGAAGTTAAAGAAACACTGGAAAGATGGGAAACAGCATTACAGCATTACAGTGCAGTCTTCCTTCGACGTACTGACAAGCTCAATCAACTCAAGATAGCTCTCAACCACAGGTTCAAAGACTAACAGGATCCACTTGAAAGTAAAGAAACTACGATAGAGGGCAACCGAAAAGGGATCAAAGTAGCATTAACTTCAACGTTCCAGTAAGTGCTGGGCCGCAAGAAGCATCATAATAAGGAATGGATCTCTATCGAAATCCTAGACAAGAAGACAGCAAATAACAACAGCTGAACGTGGGCAGAGAAAGTCAAGGTATAAGCTGAATACGCAGAAGCAAACAAACAAGTGAAAAGGAGCATTAGAACTGACAAGTAGAAATACGTGGAAGAGCTAGCAACGGCAGCGGAAAAAACTGCAAGATAGGGGAATATGAAACAACATGGTATAACGAAGAAACTGGTACGGAAATATAGTAAACCAAAGAAACCTGTCAAGGACAGGGAAGGAAACAGAATCACTGAAATTCAAGGACAAAGGAACAGATGCATGGAACACTTTGATAAACTCTTGACATCGAAGAAGCACACGCAAACCTTCTCATAGATGTCACTCCACCAACTATAGATAAAAAAGGATGACCGGTCATCAGACAAATCAACTGTGGAAAAACAGCAACAGCAGCAGTCGAACCTGACAACTTACCAACTGAATCACCGAAGTCACACATAGAAAAAACTAAACATGCTCTACGTTCCATTCAGGAGGACTTAGGAGGAGGAACAAGTGTCGACATAATGATAGAGAAACAGACAGACTAGATAGAAGGATATCAAGGAAAGGAGATCTGATCAAGTGTGAGAACTACACAGGCACCATGCCATCATCGGTACCAGGAAACGTTGCTGAAGTGGATGAAAGATTCTGTAGACGACCGGCTTCGAGATTAACAGATAGGATTCCGTATGAATCGGTCGTGCACATACCAAACAGCGACACTACGGATAATCGTTGAACAATCAAATGAATGGAATTCGTCACTATACACCAACTTCCTTGACCATGAGAAATCGTTTGACAGTGTTAATAGGAAAACCTCATGAAACCTTCTTTGACCCTATGGTGTACCAGGGAAAATCGTCAAAACCATACGGAACTAATACGATGCACTACACTGCAAAGTGCTGCATGTAAGACAGCTGACGGCCGTATTCCAAGTGAAGATTGAAGTCAGACAAGGCTTCGGAACCTCACCTTACAGGTGAATACAACCAGTGTAGCAGCAGCCTCCGCATAAGTAGGCCTCAACATACACAAGGAAAACACTAGATCTTCAGGTACGACACGGAGAACACCAACCCAATCACATATGATGGAGAAAATCTGGAAGAGGTGGAAACGCTCGCGTACCTGGGTAGTGTCATCGATAAAAATTAATTATCTGATGCAGACGTAAAGGTGAGGATTGACAAAGTATGAGCCGCATTTCTGCAGTTGAAGTACATATGGAAATCAAGACAACTGTCAATCAGTGTCAAAGTGAGAATCTTCAATACGAACCTCAAGACAGTTCTGCTGCATGAAGCTAGGATCGGTAGTATTCTATAGCCAACATCAATAATATACAAGTAGTTACAAACAATTGTCTACTTAGGATACTCAATGTCTGGTGGCTGGATACAATCAGCAAGAATCTATTGTGGGAGAGGACAAACCAGCCCCCAGCTGAAGAGGAAATTAGGGAAAGACGTTCGAAGTGAATAGAACATACATTACGGAAATAATCAAACTGCATCACGAGGTAAGCGCTAACCTTGAATCCCAACGGGAAATAAAAAAGGAAGGCCGAGCAACACACTACGTCAGGAATTGAAAGCAGACATGAAAGTGATGAATAGCAACTGGAAAGAACTGGAAAAGATTGCCCAGGACAAGGTTGGATGGATAGTGCTGGTGGGCGGCCTATGCTCCTTGAAGAGGGGTAAAAGGCGTAAGGAGGCAATTATCATGGTCTCTGGGTTTGGTGGTTTTTTTGTAAAGCCTTCACTGTTCTAAACCAGCTTATCAGTCTGTACATGTTTTATATTGATCTGCAATTCAGCCATTTGTATTCCTTTACTAAGTGGTCATTGCTTATACGCTATTCAAAATAAACGAATGCTGTACAACTGAACCATCTAAATCAAAGATCGCAACATCTACCACATACGTTTGAATCTAGCGCGCGTTTTAAAAAACTGTAACAATTTCGTACTTGCTGTTAATTAACTCTGCTTTTGTGTATTTAGTGCACAAAAGCATACTTCATCTACATAAACTTAATTGACCGCGGTTAGGGCTTGGAATTTCCCTCAAATCTGTTTTGTGATACTCTTTTTTAACTGATTCTCACACTAATGATTTTCGCATGTATTGATTTTGGTCTTTCTCCTTTAAATTTGTTTACAATGGTTGGCTGTACTTATAAATGTGGACAATGAAATTGCTTCTTCCCTGTGGAGGGAAAAATTTAATGTAATGTGTTTAAAACGTGGTTCCACAAGATGTGTACCCGTTTAAATCCCACCGCATATAAAAGGTCCTTGTGCCTATTTCTGAGTGGCTTTGAATATTTTGCTATCCGAGCAAGAGGCTAAGACCTTCTGACGTTGGCCAGCTAGAATGTTGATGGTGGCTGCACTTGTAACATGAGTACTGACAGATAAGAATTTTTCAGTGTAGTACGTGCTGTTATGGGACGAGCCAAACACTCGACTGGAAAACATGGAAGAGGAAAGTTGTCTTTGTAAAAACGGGTAAAAAACTACTGGATGATGGTGGTCACGATTGTAACGCAGAACCTGAAGACCCGGATAAAACGGTCGCCGTCTCAAGTAGTCCCAATTCGGCTGTCTCGGTTGATAGGAGATTGAAAATGGCACGGCAGCAAAGAAAAGAAAGAATAGATACAAACAGTGTCTGTTTGGTTGATAAGTAATTGGTAGTCTCCTTATCTGAGCCACAGAACATACTACCGATGTCCGGAATTAAGACCTGACGTGGTCGCAAAATGCTTGGTCTCATCGAATATTATTGTAAGTAATTTGCTAGAATCAAACGACACGTGCATGATTTGGAAAAGGTCAGAGCATTGATTCGTAGCATCTCATCAGACAATTCTATAGGAGTTGAGATAAAAAATTGATTATAATGGGTAAGAAGACAGATGAAAATGTTGAAATTCAACCATAATCCTAGAACCAGAGGAAAAACGAAATATTTTGCATATTATTGCTCGAAGTCACGACAACACCGACATTTGATCAAGACAATTAAAAGCAAGGCAAAACTATTTGAACTAGGATGCATAGATCATTCTCCTTAAGAGTCTTATATACAAATGCTCGAAGTCTTGGAAGAAATTTCATGAACTAGGAGTATTAGTGAAAGAATTAAAGCCACTCATGGTACCTGAAATCGAAACTTGATTAGTCCATGACTTTGTTGTCACTCTACAACTATTAGAACTCGTCAAAAGCAATATCCATAAAATATCGCACACCAAATTTATCATTAACAAAGTGCTTTGAATTGTAATTCATCGAAACATATATTTAACTTCAATGATGAATATAATTTATTAGTTGTGGAAATATTATTTTCCAAACTCAAACTTAAAAAAAATTGTCCAAATCAAATGATACTTCAAACCTTA